AGGTACTGGTCTGGGTGATGAGAATGTGATGTAGGTAGGTACTGGTCTGGGTGATGAGAATGTGATGTAGGTAGGTACTGGTCTGTGTGATGAGAATGTGATGTAGATATGTACTGGTCTGGGTGATGAGAATGTGATGTAGGCAGGTACTGGTCTGGGTGATGAGAATGTGATGTAGGTAGGTACTGGTCTGGGTGATGAGAATGTGATGTAGGTAGGTACTGGTCTGGGTGATGAGAATGTGATGTAGATATGTACTGGTCTGGGTGATGAGAATGTGATGTAGGCAGGTACTGGTCTGGGTGATGAGAATGTGATGTAGGCAGGTACTGGGGTGGGTGATGAGAATGTGATGTACGTAGGTACTGGTCTGGGTTATGAGAATGTGAAGAATGTGATGTAGGTAGGTACTGGTCTGGGTGATGAGAGTGTGATGTAGGTCGGTACTGGTCTGGGTGATGAGAATGTGATGTAGGCAGGTACTGGGGTGGGTGATGAGAATGTGATGTACGTAGGTACTGGTCTAGGTGATGAGAATGTGATGTAGGTAGGTACTGGTCTGGGTGATGAGAATATGATGTAGATAGGTACTGATCTGGGTGATGAGAATGTGATGTAGATTGTTACTGGTCTGGGTGATGAGAATGTGATGTAGGGGTACTGGGGTGGGTGATGAGAATGTGATGTAGGTAGGTACTGGTCTGGGTGAGGTGAGAATGTGATGTAGGTAGGTACTGGTCTGGGTGATGAGAATGTGATGTAGGTAGGTACTGGTCTGGGTGATGAGAATTGATGTAGATATGGTACTGGTCTGGGTGATGAGAATGTGATGTAGGTAAGTACTGGTCTGGGTGATGAGAATGTGATGTAGGTAGGTACTGGTCTGGGTGATGAGAATGTGATCTAGGTAGGTACTGGTCTGGGTGATGAGAATGTGATGTACGTAGGTACTGGTCTGGGTGATGAGAATGTGATGTAGGCAGGTACTGGGGTGGGTGATGAGAATGTGATGTAGGTAGGTACTGGTCTGGGTGATGAGAATGTGATGTAGGTAGGTACTGGTCTGGGTGATGAGAATGTGATGTAGGTAAGTACTGGTCTGGGTGATGAGAATGTGATGTAGGTAAGTACTGGTCTGGGTGATGAGAATGTGATCTAGGTAGGTACTGGTCTGGGTGATGAGAATGTGATGTAGGTAGGTACTGGTCTGGGTGATGAGAATGTGATGTAGGTAGGTACTGGTCTGGGTGATGAGAATGTGATGTAGGTAGGTACTGGTCTGGGTGATGAGAATGTGATGTAGATATGTACTGGTCTGGATGATGAGAATGTGATGTAGGTCGGTACTGGTCTGGGCGATGAGAATGTGATGTAGGTAGGTACTGGTCTGGGTGATGAGAATGTGATGTAGGTAGGTAGGTACTGGTCTGGGTGATGAGAATATGATGTAGATATGTACTGGTCTGGGTGATGAGAATGTGATCTAGGTAGGTACTGGTCTGGGTGATGAGAATGTGATGTAGGCAGGTACTGGGGAGGGTGATGATAATGTGATGTACGTAGGTACTGGTCTGGGTGATGAGAATGTGATGTAGATATGTACTGGTCTGGGTGATGAGAATGTGATGTAGGTAGGTACTGGTCTGAGTGATGAGAATGTGATGTAGGC